AAAGATGAGACGTGCCTGAGTTTATTTGTAATTCACTCTCACTTTAGGAATTTTTGTGTAAAAATGTGAATTTTGATTTTGTACTTTTGGACTTGAATAAATTCTAAACTTTAACCAGGAATTATCATTTCAAAACAATATAATTATTACATGGTGGAGAATCTAAATTTTTTGGACGACGGTATCCTGTATAAAAACTTTGAACATTTTGGATTGTGTTCACTTTATTCAAATATTACTGAAAATTTCAGGAAACTTTGGAGATAAACCAACTCAACATCGTTCATCATCTTCATTGGATTATTTAATTCTCGTCGATTTTACCAATTTATAGTGGTGCCGAGATTCATGGGAAAGTTGTAAAATTCAGTTTTACAGAAGCGCTACAACCCGCATTTTCTGAACTTATCTGCTCAGTCATGTTCAGTATGTATGTCCCACTATCCACGTATTTTTCCTTTCGTCCCGTGGATGAGGATTCCCAACAGGATGATGTAAATGGACCAGGCCCCGACTTCGAAGCTTTCCCTGTTCTCAAAAATGACTGTCCAACCATTTGCTGAATTTCTGTGCTCAGTCGTGGTCGATATGCATGTCCCCGTATCCTCGCACTTTTCGTTTCGTTCCCTTGATGAGGATTTACCGCAGGATCGTGCAAATTGTACCAATGGATCCGGGACCGAAACGTTCCCCGTTCTTCAAAATGACTATCCATCCAACCATTTTCTAAACCTAATTATAAGAAACACGATGTTTGGAAATCGTTCGTTACCTACAGCACTTAATTCCTCTAATACCGAAGGTCGAGCCACAGGGAGTCAAGAGCTGGCCGTACCTGCAGAGGTTTGTTGCGTAAATTCACGCCATGCCAAAGTCAGTGAAGCTGTCCAATTGCTCTTTATTGACTGTTAAAGGTTTTTTTTTTGTTTAAAAGCAATGATTCTGAGATGTGCATATATGTTAATGCATGCGACAAGTTAGTTATTTTAGTACTTTTCACATAGACCTGTATATTTCTTACAGTTGCATGAAAGTAGTTTTTGTTGTTGTTTGTTACGATTTGCGATATCGATGTGCTATTGGTGTGTTTTGTTTTTAATATCATTATAATTATGCATTGGTACGAGTGTGTCTATTTTGCTTAAGTTTTTTTAACTGCAAGAGCTTAGTACACTTTTCTCGTAGTGCTAATTACTAATGGGTATTGGTCACAATTTGAGCTACCAATGTGAAGTAGCTGTTGTGAGAGATAGTTTGTATACTTCTGAGGCGTAATGATGCCTGGAGTTGATACGTTTTTTTATCATGATGTCATATATCGTTTCTTTTGCAACTTTGTTATAATGTACAGCTTGAAAGTAAGCGCCAGTACGGTAACAATGTTATGAGTGTTGCATAAAGCGATGACATGCTTGATATGAGGCATGATCCCTTTTTGTAAATATATGTGTTTAACTTTGTTTTATAATTTGTTGTTTACATTTTTTTTACTATGCATTGCAGCGCAAGTTATGACTTCTTATGATGCACTCTGATTTGAATATTATGTTCGTATAAATGTGCGAGTGTTTGATGGTACCAATGAATGGTGAATACATGCTTCAAAAACATTTTATTCACTTCTGATTTCATTACTAGAATGTATTTTTCTTGTTGTTGTACATGTATTATATTTTCTTCATTATCATTTTGTATAACATTTCTTTCGTGTGCGTATTTTATGATTGTCTTTATCGTTTAATGTTTAAAATTGTATGCCAATTTTTTTTTAGGGGGCGGATGTTATATACATGCGTATAAATTCATATTTTTGATAAAGACAATTTGTTAGTTTCTTAGGTGTACGTATGATTTAGGTATTGTTTAAATATTATAATTGATGTACTGGGAATTTGTAATTGAAAATTAATTGTTTTATTTGATCTTCAGAAAGAGCACTGCTGCACGTGTTTGTAATTTCTCAAACTTGACATCTCTCTCTCCATCCCACGGTATCGATGCTATTAGCTCATAATTGTTATCAGGTTTATGGTCAGATCTTAGACTGGTGTTTCTTTGAATTTGTTATGCTTACTCAAATTGTTTCCTGTGTTATAAATTAATGTCATTGAGCTTTCCCCAAACTTTTCTACTGTCTTTTAACTTGTTTCATTGGTTCATTTATGAAATGTGGGAGGAGTTGTCAAAGATGAGACGTGCCTGAGTTTATTTGTAATTCACTCTCACTTTAGGAATTTTTGTGTAAAAATGTGAATTTTGATTTTGTACTTTTGGACTTGAATAAATTCTAAACTTTAACCAGGAATTATCATTTCAAAACAATATAATTATTACATGGTGGAGAATCTAAATTTTTTGGACGACGGTATCCTGTATAAAAACTTTGAACATTTTGGATTGTGTTCACTTTATTCAAATATTACTGAAAATTTCAGGAAACTTTGGAGATAAACCAACTCAACATCGTTCATCATCTTCATTGGATTATTTAATTCTCGTCGATTTTACCAATTTATAGTGGTGCCGAGATTCATGGGAAAGTTGTAAAATTCAGTTTTACAGAAGCGCTACAACCCGCATTTTCTGAACTTATCTGCTCAGTCATGTTCAGTATGTATGTCCCACTATCCACGTATTTTTCCTTTCGTCCCGTGGATGAGGATTCCCAACAGGATGATGTAAATGGACCAGGCCCCGACTTCGAAGCTTTCCCTGTTCTCAAAAATGACTGTCCAACCATTTGCTGAATTTCTGTGCTCAGTCGTGGTCGATATGCATGTCCCCGTATCCTCGCACTTTTCGTTTCGTTCCCTTGATGAGGATTTACCGCAGGATCGTGCAAATTGTACCAATGGATCCGGGACCGAAACGTTCCCCGTTCTTCAAAATGACTATCCATCCAACCATTTTCTAAACCTAATTATAAGAAACACGATGTTTGGAAATCGTTCGTTACCTACAGCACTTAATTCCTCTAATACCGAAGGTCGAGCCACAGGGAGTCAAGAGCTGGCCGTACCTGCAGAGGTTTGTTGCGTAAATTCACGCCATGCCAAAGTCAGTGAAGCTGTCCAATTGCTCTTTATTGACTGTTAAAGGGTTTTTTTTTGTTTAAAAGCAATGATTCTGAGATGTGCGAATATGTTAATGCATGCGACAAGTTAGTTATTTTAGTACTTTTCACATAGACCTGTATATTCCTTACAGTTGCATGAAAGTAGTTTTTGTTGTTGTTTGTTACGATTTGCGATATCGATGTGCTATTGGTGTGTTTTGTTTTTAATATCATTATAATTATGCATTGGTACGAGTGTGTCTATTTTGCTTAAGTTTTTTTAACTGCAAGAGCTTAGTACACTTTTCTCGTAGTGCTAATTACTAATGGGTATTGGTCACAATTTGAGCTACCAATGTGAAGTAGCTGTTGTGAGAGATAGTTTGTATACTTCTGAGGCGTAATGATGCCTGGAGTTGATACGTTTTTTTATCATGATGTCATATATCGTTTCTTTTGCAACTTTGTTATAATGTACAGCTTGAAAGTAAGCGCCAGTACGGTAACAATGTTATGAGTGTTGCATAAAGCGATGACATGCTTGATATGAGGCATGATCCCTTTTTGTAAATATATGTGTTTAACTTTGTTTTATAATTTTTTGTTTACATTTTTTTTACTATGCATTGCAGCGCAAGTTATGACTTCTTATGATGCACTCTGATTTGAATATTATGTTCGTATAAATGTGCGAGTGTTTGATGGTACCAACACTCTAAAAAAAGTTTTACTTGTTGTTTTTAAAACAAGATATTAGATTAAGAAAAACTAGAAATTATTAGTAATCCATTTAGTCAGAATAGCAAGTAAATGACTATCACTGTTAGTAATTGTAATCACGATAAGTATTTAGGATGAATTCATTTACTTAGAAAATGATTTACTAAGTATACTTAATGAATTATTACTAAGTAAATGAAATACTTGTTATTTATTCAAATCTAGTATATTATTTACTAGAAAGAATGCTAAAAATCTAGTATATTATTTACTAAAAAGAGTACTAAGTAAATGAAATACCAGTTATTAATTAAAATCTAGTATATCATTTACTAGAAAGAATACTAAGTAAATGAAATACCAGTTATTAATTAAAATCTAGTATATCATTTACTAGAAAGAATACTAAGTAAATGAAATACCAGTTATTTATCAAAATCTAGTATATCATTTACTAGAAAGAATACTAAGTAAATGAAATACCAGTTATTTATTAAAATCTAGTATATCATTTACTAGAAAGAATACTAAAAATCTAGTATGTTATTTACTCGAAAGAATACTAAGTAAATGAAATACTTGTTATTTATTAAAATCTAGTATATTATTTACTAGAAAGAATGCTAAAAATCTAGTATATTATTTACTAAGAAGAGTACTAAGTAAATGAAATACTTGTTATTTATTAAAATCTAGTATATTATTTACTAGAAAGAATACTGAGTAAATGAAATACTTATTTATTAACACTTCAGAATTATTTATATATTAATTTGTATTTTTACAAAAACTGAGTAATCAATACTGAAAATTTAGTTTCTTTTGTAATCCACAAATTAATGAATCATCAATCTGTTTCTTAGATATTGGAAAAATTATCATGCATGAAGAATAGTTTACAAGCATCTTCAAAAGCTTCTCTACTAGTGTACCTTTACAGTCAATGCCTGTCTCAATATGTTAAGTAGTAATTAGAAAGTGTACAAGAATGAATATATATATATATATATATGAAAAAAAAGAACTCAAATTGTCTGGGCTTTTTATTTTCGAGAAAATAAGAGACAAATCTGAAATAAGTACACAAGATTTAAAAAATTTATGTTCAAATCTTAAAAAAAATTATGCATCAATTTTAAAAAAAATTGCATTTATATTTCACAATAGAGTTCTTACAAGATTTTTAATACCCTTAAAGCTGAACATGACTCGTAAATAGGCATACGCCATTTTTGATAGCATTATCTACGATACATCAATACTAGGGTATACTCGTCGCTTTCTTTACACCTGACTGCTTTATTGTCAAAGGTATCAGCGTGGAATGGTGACCGTGTTCGTGCTGGTTATCTTGCATTACCTTTGTTTATATTTTATTGCAGTAACGTTTATCTGTGTTGTTTGTCTACTGCACAGACATATACAGCTATAAATGTAAATTTATTTGGTATTTCACTTTTCTGCATAAGACGAAGTATTACGTTATTATTCTCCCTACTGTATAGCATAAATCAGTCTTCACGAAAACTCACTGGTCCGAAGACAGGGGCCAGTGAATATTGGTGTCGGGTCAGTGAAAAATCAAAATTCGAGAAGTCCGATTGGCTTTTGATTATAAAATTCATACACAGTCAATAGAGAGGTTGAGATTTCAAACGTGTACGTGTACGTCTAGTAGGGGAATAACCTAAATTCTGTGTGTATTACGTCATCAATTTTAGTGACGTCAAGATTGCTACACGTTCGTAAAACTTGTAGAATGGAATCTACATGTAAGTGAAAACGTGTAGCTTTGATAATAAAAATTAGCCTATCTAAGTGTGAAAATGTGATTATTATACATTATATAGGATGTTTACTTTCACGAGCACTTATTTTCATCAAGTTTTGTTTACAAAATGACGATAAAAAACCTTCTAAATAGTTGAAAGAGATATACCGATCGCGGTGTACATGTACATGTTACACGTCATAAAAATCTCAACAGATAAATTAAAAACAACGTGTACGTGTACGTCAAAATATCTACAAGAACACGTACGCGTACAAGTTTAAAATCTCAACCTCTCTAATATATATCTTAACTGACTTGCTTGCATAAATTTCATTGATATATTATATAAAAAGAACAAGCCCGTGTTGTTGAATCGTATTATTGTAACCCTATTATATCATGGAAGTATTACATAACAAACGGAACTAGCTAGTAACTATTAACTAGTACGTAAAATGTGCGAATTTCCTACAAACAACTTACTGAAATGCGACAAATGACAAAAAATGGCGGCATTCAAAAGTTGAAGTACGTAAACATGTATAAATTTACAGTAATGAAAATGTATTTATTTTATTTTTTAATTATGGGGCCAGTAAAAATTTTGGTGGGCCAGTAAATTTTGAAAGTTAACTGGTCCGACTGGCCAGATAGTTTGAAAAGTTTTCATGAAGACTGATACACCCGTGTCAACTGATTAAGCTGAACAGTCTGTAATTCTTGCCCTATTTATAGGGGTCAACAGGGTAGCAACACTCTGGAACTAAAATGGCGGACACATTACTCTTACTAGTCGTGTTCAGCTTTAAGAACTGGGCTCATCATAAAATTTGCATAGGATGGATACATAACCAGGTAAAGAAAATTTAAATATACACTACGGAACACAAAAATTGGGACAAAAAAGAAAAACGATATAAATTATTTTAAAAAATAAATTCTAAAACATTTGCACAACTTATTAAAATACACGTAAAAACAAAAATAAATTTTAGTTACTGGATACATTTTCAATCAAAGGAAAATAAAAAATCAAAACAAGAGTAAATGAAAAAAAATATCAAACTAATTAATAATAAATATATATATAACATACTAAAAAAGACTAGCAAATGTGGTGGCACTTCAAAATAAAACTGTAGAATGGTTTTCAAAACAAATAAAACAAATTGTAAATAGCACAATAGTCACATATGCCTGGTTGTAGATTTACTCAGTCAATGCATAGAAGTTCTATATATATATTACTTGAGATGTGATCACTACAGCAAGTCAGAGAAGAACAATGATCCAGTACAAAAAATTGAACACTGAGTGTAGTTTCCACTAGTCCTTAAAGTAACTATGAGGTTAACAAATTATCTAAATAGGGTTAGAAACTCCCTAAAATTACAACTCGGTGAACTAGCAAAATAATATGAGAATTACAAACCTTTAAAGAATACAAATTCATATCTACATATTAATGGTGAACTAGCAAAATAATATGAGAATTACAAACCTTTAAAGAATAAAAATTCATATCTACATATTTTAACAAAGGGACAAGAATCACGCTTGTGTTGACTTAACCTGAACTTAGAATAAACTGTCCAGGGAATGACTTTCACTCCTCTCCTTGTAGGCAGTGAATTCTTTCATTGCCTTCTGTAGTGTTGGCAAATCTCCTGAGTGGATCTTGTCATCCAGAACAAGGTGCTGCAACAGTAATAGTGGGCCTGTTATCTGTGATGGGTATGGCAATGATCCTAAGTAGTATAACCCGAGCATAGCCAAAATAGCCTCCTCTGCATTTTTACATTTGAAGATAACATCTTCTCTCTCCATCAAAGTGGTGGACGTGTTTGATCCAATAGTATTGTGCAGGATCCAGGGCCCCGAAGTACCTTTGTGACTTTGTGCTACTTCTTTCCACATCTCAGAACTCTAAAATTTTATTGCATCATAAAAATTTCAGCGTTTGTTGTGCCAGAACTGAAATCATGGAGTTCTTACACATTTCACAAAATTACATGTCAAGTTAGCAAATAATGAAATGCTGAGAATAAAGTTTTTTAATAGTTTCTATCATCACATCCATCATTATTATTATTACCTCAAGTGACAAAAAGATCTCTCTAGTATCTACAATCTAATATGTTTAAACATTACTATCATTAAAATATTTGTACCAAAAATTAGTTAATAACTTAATGACTCACTTTGACGACATGAACCAAATGATGTCCTGGTTTCAATTTCCCTGCTGACTTATTCCCACAAAGACTTGGCAGATGAAATAATGCCAAAAAATACTTCTGATCTGAAAATAAACACATATTAATACACTCACTGGTGAACTTACAAAATATATGAATTATTTTCATTTTTTTTAACAGTACAAAGTACCTGTTGTTTTAATTGCTGATCGAGGGATATTAAGGATGTTTTTATCAAACAACAAATCAAGTGATGTTGTCATAAGGTCCTCTAGTTTCTGCTTCATATCAGGAAGCTCTACAGGCACTTGCATGTACATGTTGAAAATAACCTGTAAAGTAGATATATGTCTTCTTGCAATTAGTTTGAACTTTAAATTTCAATAGCACTACAAATTTTGAAGCATTGATAAACTTTTTTACCTAAATCTTTAACACAACACTTAACACAAGACACAAAAGCTAGGGATTTTATAACTTACTGTTTAAGACTTTAATTAGCGACTAATTTAGTTGCTATCGTGCCTAAAATATTCACTGGTGCCAAAAAATTATGTTGCCAAATTGGTGACCATTTTAAATCAAATTCCTTAATTACAGACATTTCAACTTTCTTTTAGTTTAAAAGATATGATAGCTTTATTTATTTTAAGTTAATCTGTTTTGGCATTTAGCTGACTTATATTTCTTGTTGATTTAGACCCTCCCCCTTCCTGAGACTAACCCAATGGGTTTGTATATTGACTAAATAAAAATGTTTGAAATTGGTGCCTAAGAAGAATTTGTCGACTAAAAAATTTGCATTGGTGACTGATTTTTTTTTTTTATAAGGAGCCAGCTTATCTTAAATTTTAGAGAGCTGACTTGAAAGTCTGTCTAAATTAATTATACTTAACAATGTAACCAGAAGTCTCTGTCGAGACTGTAGCTCTACTGGTTTGTACTTATCAAAAACCATTGCACTATTTTATGTATCTTTGTGTAGTCTACTTGTGTGCCAAGTTATATTGAAATCAGACCAAAACTGTAGAAGGAGTAGCATTTTTAAGGAATTTCACAGAAAATTCTATTTTTAATAACCATGGCAACACCGTTCATCGAAATTAAAAACCGATGCACTATTCTATGTATCTTAGTGTAGTCTACTTATGTCAGGGCTCTCACACCACTTTTTGGGACTGGGGCCGGGGCCATTCAAATTGGGAAAATTATTCTCATTTTGGGAAAAGTTGGATAACCAAGTCATTTAAAAAATCCTCAAATTTTGCTTTTCTAGCATTTTGTCATCAATTTAACTCTGGTTTTGAATAAACACTTAACAGTTAAACAGAACAAACATGGGTACGTAAGCTATTTAAGAAAGTACATAAGCTTTGTTATTACTATCTTTTAGTGTTGATAATTGCTTACATAAGCGTTATTACTATCTTTTAGTGTTGATAATTCCTGTTACATGTCTTTCTGAGTGACAGTTGTTAGTCAAGTACTCCCGAATTTCCTTGATCACATGGACAACTTTGCTTACCAAACAGCGCAAGACTGCACATGCCAAAGCGTGGGTTTGTTTCTAGGTGCAGCTTACTAATGTTTAAATGAAATGTCTATTTTTAAAACCAATATGATGTTTTTGTTGAAACTACATGACAAGATACTCTAGCTGCTCTCATAATTAGTTCATATTTCTGTAAAAACTATAACCTGGGTCCCCGAACCAGTTTTTAAATGCATTTGGCGCAAACTATTAAAATTGTAGTATAGTTTCACTTTCATTTGCAAGTTTGTCTGTTTCGTTTTGTTTTTTTGTGATTAAGTTTCGTGGAATTTTATTATTAAATTTTTATTTTGCTATGGAAATTGGGAAATTTACACATTTCTTTTGGGAAAAAGGTACCTTTTTTGCATTGGAAACGGGGCCGATATTCGGCCCCAGATATAGAGAATCAAGAGCCCTGTATGTGCCAAGTAATATTGAAATCAGACTAAAACTGTAGGAGGAGTAGCGTTTTGAAAAATTGTTTACAGACAGACGGACAGACAGACAGACAGACGGACGGACGCCGGACGCATAACTATCACATAAGCTCTTCTGGTCTCTGACCAGTAGAGCTAAAAATCATGTTATACCAAACCATTTTGTTAGCATTATTATCAATTCAGAAACAAATTTCAAACACTCACACTTTCAGGATAACTGAAAACTTTGTAAGTGTTCAGTGTATACTTTAAGCGTTCTTTAGCTGGGATTTTCTCTACTTCTT